CCAAGAGCATCCTCTGCAGTTTGTACTGGTATCATCTTCTTCAAACATATATGCAGCATGATCATTTTACATTCTGCATAGTGACATGATGTGAAAACAAGTTTCCTTCTGGGCACAAAAGGTGCACATATGGATCTAGTTAAGTCCATATGGATATAATAGGTGCTTTGTTTGGTATCTGCCTCTCATCAAAGACCAATATTAGTAGTACAGAACTGGAATGTCTAAGGCCACTTTTATAACACCAACAATACCCATATGACTCTAGTCCAGGGCAAAAATTCATGTCCTCTGAATCCAATAGCTTATTGGTGGTCAGTTAGTAAATGGGATTGGATGATTTTGTTTTAAAAGAATTACTTCCTTCTCTTTAGTGTTTCTCACATTTACTAGTCAAAACAAATAGTGATCTGTCCTTCACATGCGCACTACTAATTTAGCCCTTTGGGAAACCTGGTGCCATGCACAGGGTAGGTGATAATGCTGGTTGGAAATTCTGGAAGATGTCCTTCCAACAAATCTCCAGAGCATGAATTTGGAAGGTTGCTTGCAATTACAAAATGTATATAATGACTTTGATTCTGAAGAAGACACTGATTGTTTCATTCAATTATCAGTTTGTTTAGAGAGGGTTAGAAAATTGTTTCCTGACTACTAAAATGCTACTGCCACATCTATGACACTCTAACGGTGAATTTAGATGTAATATCTGAGAACTTGTATCATTTGTTGGTTTACAGGCTCTGGGGACAAACTGTTGTGGCCCGTCAGCGGCCTGTGCAGCTAGTAGCTGATTCCAACAGCAAGGAGGCTGGTGTGGTGCTGCGCCAGCAGCCTTGCAGCTGGCACTCGAGTCAGACAATGAGGAGGCTGGAGAAGATGTGGTGCCAGAGGTGGGGATTCAGCCAGGGCCTTCAGAACCTCCAGAAGCTCCTATAAGTGAAGGAAGAAGAAGAGGAGAGCCTCTTCTCGATGCATGGGTGCGCAGAGTTGCCAAAAGGCAGGAGTGGCTCCTCAGGAGGATGTCTCCTCGAGAGTAAGGCTTGGGGCTAATTGGCCACTCCCTTAGCCTATTTAAGGAAGGACGACGACTGAGGCAATTTGCAGGGAACAACTTCATTCACTCTCCTTCATCTTGATCTTAGTTCTTTTATCAGTTTCCTGCAAATTGTTTCTGGGCTTTCTGCCAGTCATAGTAAGATTACGATTATTTATTCTTTGGATTCTTGTAGGCTGTTAAGAAAGTTAATTAACAGCCTTTGTTTGAAAAAGACTGATTTAATTTAGTAAACTAAGGTTTGTACAGACTTTGTGTGTGCTGCATTCTTTGGGATCCGTAGCTGGGGCAGAACACAAACAGACACTTTTTCTTTCAGTTTCATCCTATTAAGTTTCCGATTGAATTCAATTTCAATTCAATTTGAATCAATTTTTTTAAAAGTGAAAATTTAGACTAAGAGACTAAAGAGAAAAGAGAGTGAAAACTCCAAGTTAGATCACCCCGGTCATACCACAGGAGATTTTTTTTCATACAAATAACTAGACTGGAAAGCAAGTTTCCAATTACTGTTTCACTTCATACTAATTAATTTTCTGAAGTTATAATTGAAGTTATAATTATGTCGAACAAAAATGCCATTGCAGTTACCGAACTGCGTGTTTAACTGATTAAAGACGGCTCAAGAGTCCTGAGTGAAGACAGAGAGTAAAGCTCAATTATCTTAGGTAGATCTTGAGCCAGAATGTTTCTAATATTATTTTCCACAGGCAAGCACACTGCCTGTATCTACTAACAACTGAAAAACCATTCTTAGACAATATATTCATGTTTTACTTGATTCTGTGAGAGTAAATTTCCCACAATGCCTTCCTGAGTTCTTCAGTGGCACATAAGAAGCTATTAGCGTCATGGGAAAAGTGGTCTAGGAAAGAAAGAAAAAGAATCGGTAGATAGATCATATAACATATTGCGGTGCTTCAGAATGTCCTCATTCTGCCACTGTCCTAGCAATTAAATAAAATAAAAATGACTGAACAAACCCAAATGTTTAACCTTGATTGAAGACAGTGAAAGAACGTTTTTGAGTAAAAACTTTTTGTTCCATGAAATGACTTTACTTGGAATTTCCTGTGGGATAGAAATGTTACATTTTTGAGTAGCTCTCTTATTTAGGGAAAAGAGAACAACCAGAATGGTAAAGCTATTACATTTTTGTGAGTGTACTTACTTTTGGACTCCACTGACTGGTAATATAGAAACCTTGGAAGCACTTGAAATCCAAGTCCTTCAGAAAATATCAAGATATTTCATCCATTATTTTATGTTAAGACCAGAAGTCATAATTTTTATGATTGGATCAAGCTTTAAATTAAATTTGTAAAACATAAATATTTTATTTATTTACTTATTAATCAAATTTATACTACTGCCCATCTCACTAAAGGTTTGTCTGGATGGCACACAAACAAAGAAACAAATTTGAGGCATTGATCTGATATATTTCTGATAATGTCGTAAATATACATGCTTTATTTTTATTACTATCTATCAGCACTATCATATTTTGTTTCTTTGAAACTCTATAAGCCAAATAGTATGGGAAATGCTTGTATTCGTTATTAGAGCTTCTGTTTAAGAGATATTTCATTTTAGTCTTTTATAAAAATGCATTTGTGACCACTAGTTACTTTCATTGTTCATATGTACCTGAGTTTGCCCACATGACATATGCATAGATATGTTTCCAGTTAATTGTTAACATGTATGGTATAATGGTGACTCTAACACTTATCCTTATGCTGTGCCATGAATAGTCTCCTTTCATTTAAGTTTGGGTTTTACTGACATGATGGCTAAGTATGAAGAAGAATTTTGTTTGGCCCCATTTATGAGTGAACTGATTCACACTTCCTGACTCATGCATAGCCCCAGATCCAATTATTCTTTGGACTCTACACTTCTCCAAATCTCAGGGCCTGTTAGGGAGACACGTACCGTATGTTTCAGAGTATAAGATGCTTTCCCCCACCTAAAAGAGGATAAAAATTTGGATGCGTCTTATACACCGAATGTAGCCCCACCCACCCACTGGCAGGGATTGGCTGCGGTGAATGGGCTGTGGCGAATGGGCCGTCCAGATGAATACCGGATGGATGCTGGAAGGCAAAGGCAGATTTTTTTTCTTGTTTTCCTCCCCACAAAAGGTAGGTGCGTTTTATAGTCCGGAGCATCTTATACTCTGAAAAATACGGTAATCATAACATCTGGGATTTGGGTCCAAATCCTAGAGTGTCCAACTGTCAATTATATTTCATCCTGAAACCAGGGCTGGAATAGGAAGTAAATATAACTTTAGAGAAAGAAGCACTAAATAAAACTTTGAATCTGTGGTCGGAAGAGTACTGGGTACCATGCTGCCATACAGGGAAAACCTAAGTGCAGATCATCTGATTCTGTGCTTTTGCCACAGCTTGAGATTACAAAAGGAGAGCAGGTGATAAAGTTTGCCAAGTGTCTACCAAGCCACTACTTTACTTGATGAGTTGCATTTGGCACTGTGGCTCAGAGGTTATATAGGCTTCCTTCCTTTAAATTATGAAGAGCTATAGCCTTAATTCTGCTCAGATGGCAAAGCTGCTGTTGAAGGCCGCTTTCAACCTTCCTTGAAAAATTTTTTGGGCCTGGCAATGGGACTTTAATTTCCCATAAGGCTTCAAACCAATTCCATCAGGACCACTGCAGGAAACAAGTGGCAATTCTTATATCTGCCATTATGGTCTACTGCCATAAGGAAAACATATTAAGCCCTGTTAGATCTCATACCAACATTATACTGGCTGCCTGTTGTTTCTGGAGAAAATCGAAAAGATGGTTTAAGATTTAAGGTAGAACTATTTTAAGATCATTTGGATTGATGTCTAAAATTACCTAATTCCTCAATGTATTTGTTTATTTGTGTTTTCCCCATCCTTTGCATAATGGCTTAGCCAAGGGAAACTTTACCTTCCTACCAACATTCTTGCATTAACATTCTCCAATTTTGTAAGATACATCCCCACATGATTTTATATTGGTTTTGATCCATTATAATCCATGCAAACTATCTCACAACAGAAGTTTTCTCTTGCTAGTGATGAAAAACTCCTGCAGAGGGCAGGGCAGACGGAGTGGTGAGGGCCAGCATGCTGCCTGACTTATAAAGCTCTCATTCTTTTTGGTCAGGGCCTGACCATCTGTGGGTGGAAAAGGACCGTTATTGCACAGCAGGAGTCTTGTTGAGCTTGGCCTGAGTCTCTTTGTCTTCGCCCCTCCTGATCTTGAATGAGGAGGGTATGTATACTGAGAAAGAGAGAGGAGAGAGAAGAAACCCTAGTGAGAATTTTGCAAGGAAATGGAGGTGGTGGAGTGGTGGCAGTAGAACGGTTGAAATTCTAAAAGTTTTTTTTTAAAAAAAATGACTGATGGTGGGAAGAGTACCGTAAAGTCAATGAATAATTCACTGTCCTGCTTGAGTATCTTGGGAATGTGCCATGTAAAACAATAATATCTTCCAAATAAGCAGGAAGGAGACTGAGAGAGAGTGGCAGGGGGAGAGGGAGAGAAAGTACTTGGATCTTTGCATTGAGTTCCTGCCAGATTTGGATACGCCACTTTTTATAAATTTTGCACATTTCTTTTATTAAATATTTGATGGGGAGTTCTGTTTCAGAATATAAATTAGTATTGATTGTGTACAGGAGATTTGACAAATAGTATTTGTGACCAATCTCATTGGCTCCGAGTTTTCTTATGTTACATTGATTATTGCTCTTTTGGAATCATCAAAATCCTGACACTTTCACAACTTAAACCTTTCTTTACTGAGAAAATTCTTCTATCTGCTGCAAGACATTTAGCTAATATTGACTTTCCAATTCCCCTTTTGTGCATATGTACAGCTGTGCTCCAACTATCAGAATACTTGTGACCATTGTATGGATCAGGGACTGAAAATTGTAAGGTAGTTGAAGGCATCACTTTATTTATTTACTTACTTATTTTTTAATGTACATTTCATTTTTCTTAATCACCCTTCTCCCTCAGAGATGTTGGTGGTTGTTTTGAAAGCTGTGTTGTGAAACTGATGTAAAAAAAGGGGGACGAGCTTTGATCACATGGTCACACGCTCCATCTTGATTTTGTTTTAATCCTTCCCTCTAAAAGACTGGCTGTTTCCTTTGGATAAAATAAAGATGTAGAAATTGGTAACGTTGCTTTCAGTTGGCTTATTCAGAGACAGTTGGTAAATATTCATGTGGAAAAAACACCCATTTTTGTCAGGAAGGCATAAACACCTCTGGGCTGAAAACTACTTTAGTCCTTTGAATAGCAAGCCATGGGTCAATTGAAGAAATGGTCTGTCCCAAGGCAAAGAATTACAATGAGATCAAAATGGTAAGATGGCTCTTGAGTATTCAACATTTTTCTTCTTCTATTACATAATGTTTACAATTTAGTATCAACTTTTGAAAGGACTCAAGGGCAGCTGTTAAAGCCTGCATGCAGCTGAGGGGGACTCACTTATCAGAAACCCAGATTTGTCAATGACAGTGGGCTGCACCAGATCAAAGATGTTAGTTATTGGCAGCAAATCTAAATATACAGTCAGCAATGCTAATGAATGTAGGCCTTCAGTTATTTCAATATTTCTAATTCTCCATTTATTTTCTGTAAAAAGCCTAGATTGTCTAATGCATACTTTCCTGCTCTGCCAAGGACAATTATATTAATTACCCAGAATTCTCTGCATATTAAAAAGCTGCTTTTTACAATAACATAATTTAGGAGGCCCTATGGAGTTTGTCTTTAATTTTATGAGATATGTTTCAAAGGCTTACATATTCCTTAGTGAACTAGTCTCAAACTTAAATTACCTCACGTACAGCTTCTTTTTTAGATTTCACAACATGCTTTCATCTTATTGTGGGAGAGAGGTATTTGGAAAATATTAAAACACAATAAAGGCAGGCTCTCAACTTCTGCATATTGCATTCCATGCCTTTAACATAAAAAACAACATGAATTTTAAGTATGAACACTGCTTTAACACTTAGAGAATGATTACCTGTAGACAATCTATATATTTAAAAGCCAAATACCACTTATTCATCACAAAATCTCCAGAACGATGAAGCCTACAAACTTGAAATTTGGCACGTATGTTCCTCTTGGCTTCTAGGTGCTCGTTAAGAAAGGATTTTTTGAAATGACCATCAGATCATTAGTATTTCATATATAGTGTTATATTCGCATGCTCTGATGCTAAGGAGCTAGACGTTCTACTCCCCCTCCCCACCTGAAAATAACTCTGTTCCAACTGCCAGTTGCCTTATATTAACACACTCTGATGCTACCCCTTTGCTAAACTGGGTGTGGGCGTGGGCGTGGCCAGCATATGACTCATCTGGCCTGCGGGGCTAGGACATTCTACTCCCCCTCCCCCTCTGTTCCAACTGCTAGTTGCCTTATATTAATATGGTCTGATGCTATGGAGTTACACATTCTACATTAAGTTTCAGGCTTTAAGTGTCAATTTATCACGCCTGATCACATAGTTTCATAGCAAAGCATGGGCGTCTGGCTAGTAAATCTATAAACCTGTGTGATCATTAGTGGAACTGACCACCATAAAAATCCACAATAAACATTTTCAGATTCTGCAAGACAATTTTCTGCCAAAATATCCTTTGGCTGTGAGAATATTTGAAATCACAATGGTAAAAGAATGCCCACTTTCTGAACTGTAAAGACATACAAATGTAAACCTTGGCCTTGGTCAGTCAGCAAGCATAACAGGCAGTCAAATTAAATCTAATTTAGGATGCAGAAGGAAATTTAAAGGAAAAACTTCCATTTTTTCTGGTGGCAGCAACCCTTATGCTTGTGGAAATAATTGTTGAACAGTATTTTGTGGGAGGGAGAAAGACCAGCCGCTGTCATACAATTTACTTGTTAGAAAGTATACTCCAGTTTTCCAGTTGTAGAGGGCGTTCAGTAGTGGAACGTGCAATTCCATTTCCCCTTATAAACTCTACCAGTTCAGCAACTTAGTCTAAAATGTTTGTGCATAATTATAAATAAAGTGAAAGGAAAATGTAAATCTAAATGTTCTAACTATAAACAAAGTCTATATTAGGAACCAAAGAAAGACAAATCCTCTATACTTATTTATTTGCTACGTGAATTAATTTTTCCCAAAACTTACTGCCATAAATCAGGGAGGATTTGTCTCCCTCTAATTTCTGGTTCCAGAATGTTTTTCAGCCTTGGCAACTTTAAGATGTGTGGACTACAACTCCCAGTTGCTAAGGTTGAGAAACAGTGATGTAGACTATGGTCATTTATGAGCACAGAACAGAACTTACGTACTGGAAAAATATTAGCATTGTGTTGGTTTGCAAATTAGAAAAACTGTAAGAAGAATGGCTGCTGCTTAACCTGTTTGTTAACACTTGTAGTTCTACCAGGCAATTTGCATCTATTTATATAATACTGGTCTTCTCAGGTAAAACCAGTTTATGTATTCTGGGATTCTACAACTACTGTCCCAATCGTTGTCAAGAATTTACCTGTGTAATTTGAAGAAGAGTTGGACCATTATCAGTAGAATGTCTTTCTTGTCAGTGAATGAGAGAGCAGTTATGTATTTTGAATTCTTTCCCTGGTCACAAGCAATCTGGAATGAATGAGAACGGGGAGGATGTCTGGATGAAACTATCCCATAGAGACATATTAAAGTCAGTAAGAGGTGAACTATGATCTTTCAGACCTCAATCCAAGTATTGTAGACTATACTTCTCCAGACAAATCATTTGAAATATGAATATGGTATGCCTGGCCTTTATTTAAGATGTCATGGGGAATAGCTACCAGAAGGATGGAAGCCTCTCATGAGTCCTTTTTAGGTGTGAGTCAAAATGTAAGATTCCTCCTCCCCCCTCATTGAAAATCTCAGTATGCTGCAGAATGATTTGATTCTGAGCAAACCTAACTAAACCCACAACTTGGAGATTTCCCTACGCACTGCAGTCAGCCTACATTTTATTTTCCTGTTTCAGACTAAGACTATATATCATGAATAGAGATTTTTATACAGTTACGGTCAGACAAGTTTTAGTTGAAACATTGTCTAGAGCTAAAAGTACCCAAAGTGCTAGAATTACAGGAAAAACCCTTCCTTATGTATTTTATAATTTTCTTTGAGAGAAAGCAATATTATCAACCTAGAGCAAGACCTGGGAACTGGGGAGAGGAACAGATGGGAATTCAGAGATCTGGAGGTCTGCATTTCTTTTGTGGGACAAAGAATAATTATGCTTGCTTTAAAGATGTGCAACTTTCAGCTTCTGGATAGCCTGTTCTTTTAACCATTGCAACCAATTCTACGTGGGACAAACATCACATCGATTAAAAACCAGGATCCATGAACACCGACTGGCGGTCAAACACCACATTCCCAAATCCTTAATTTCTACTCACAACTGACACCAAACAGCACCAGTTCAATTGGAGCAACACAAAAATCATCGGCCACGCTACCACTTGCCACGCTCATGAATTCATCGAAGCCTGGCACTCCACAAGCAATAGACACACTGACCTACAAAAGCCTATGAACCCCTCAGAGTCCAAATCAACTGCACAGCCAGCCAGAGACAGCACTGACCCTCAACCAACCCATGCAACCCCCCCACCAGCAGTTCACCTGACTCTGACCTGATGTAATCTCCTTGTCACAAGACCCATCACAAAACCCTCACTTGACCCACCCACACCTGAAGCCCATATAAACAGAAGAACCCTGACACTGACATCCCCTAAACTCCGCTGAAGATGTTACCTAGCCTGGTAACAAAACATTTGGAAACCAACCCATAAGCTTGGAGAATGAACCTTCACCCTCATTAAGTGAGTTTCGAATATGTAACTTGGAAGCATTTTCTAAAGAATCTCTTGCAAATCTGGCCAAAAAGCTTTATATGCAAGATGTACGTAGGGTAATTCCTGAACCTTTCTGAATGGTTGTTATTTGATTGTTTTGTTTATTCCCCAACATATTACTGTATTCATTTCTGAATCATTTTATTATGCTTTTAACCTATTCTATCCTACCTTGACATGGTTTGATTAGGTAGCTTTATAAATTGAAATGATGATGATGATGATGAGTTCCTATATGACATTGACAGTAGATGTACTTACCTGTGGATCCAAAGAGCTTGTTGTTTAAAAGCTAGCTCCCCCATAACACACAACTTCTGGAAGTGAGGGAATTCATGCCCCTAAAGACATGTCCACATCTTTTGAACTTCTGTCTATCTATCATCTATCCACCCATCTACTTGAGCTCTTATCTACTGTGAGCTTTTCTGATGGCTAACTCTTCCCATTTCACCACTGATCACACCAATTGAGCTCTACATAATATTCCATTGGTGTAATATACTTTTTTTTAAAAAAAAAAATCCCAGTTCTAGCTATAAAGTGTTAAAGTATGGTTAACTCTTTGTTCCTTCCGCACTTCCAATCCCTTCCTCCAAAATATAATGCAATTCAAAGAAACACTACAATTAAGCACTTTTTAAAAAGTTTCAGTTGGTAGAAATGATATATGTGATGTGGTGAGAGGTAGGGGAGAAGACCGTTTCCTGGATGGGAAGATCTTGTGGGCTCATTCAAATTCTAAACCTGTAATTTCCTGAATCCAGACATTGGTTACAATATTATAACTTTCATGGTACAAGTCTGTTCTCTCATTTACATAGTACTCATATTGCTGTCTTATAACATCAGTTTTACACAGCAGCTTCGTCATGTTTTTCCATTTGGGAAGTCAGAATATAGCATTATTTTGGCAATGAAGATATACTAAATATTTTAATTCTCCTATTATCCTGGTAGGATTCTTTAGTTATTGCAATTTGAAATCATTGTTTCTTATAAGATCTTCTCTCTTTGAAAGATATAATGATCTTTGTTTTGCTGATTGAATTGGTATTCTACTTTCTTTCTGTTTGTGTGTTGGATATTGTTTATGAAGATGTTACTTTATATCTTAATGCAAGACTCCAATGAGCAGAGTTTGTCTATCATTGACGTGGTCTATTGACGATGTATCTAGTAACAATAACTGCCTTTCATTTTCATAATATTTCTATTTTATATGAATCTTGTTTAACGATACTTATTAATTAAATTAATTCATATGATTTTAACATATTACCAATGGCCGAAATAAATTTCAAGATCAAATTCTATCTTAGAAACATATTTAAATCTAACAGGGGAGTTTTTAAATTAATTTTTATTGAAGAAGATTTGTACAAAGAGAAAACAATACAAATTAAAAGAAAAGAAAATTTAAAATAGAAAAATAGTGATAAGTAAATAAGGAAACAAAGAAAAAAGATATAAAGGAGTGGCTTCTGATCTTTACAACAGTTATAAATGCATTATATTTTATCCTCTCTCTTTAAGGCAACTTCCTGGCTCCTTCTTTTCATATTCTATCTTTTGTAATCATTAATCTCATAAATCACAAATTCATTTTTCCTATTTTCAACAACAAAAAAAATCATAACAGATTTCCAGTCCCCAACAAATATAATTATTGTCTTTTCCCTAATCAAACAAACTGATATTGTCATCTGAGTACAATCAGGAGGATTTCTGATGAGTTATAGTTTAATAATGAGGTAAAAGGAGTTTTCCTCTTATCTGTCTATCTATTCTCTTTCCCTGTTCAAACAGGAGGGATAAATTATATAGACAAGATGGAATACTTCCAAGCATGCTTAAAGTAAGAGTAGGAGCCTGTCATGAACACATAAAATGATGGCATTCATTGTTTTAAATAAAACGTTGAGCAGCAACAACAACAACAACAACAATAATAATATATCTAATCTAATAATAACGATCACCACTTCTAATTGTCATTGCACTGTTTCCTCTGTCAACAATACTGAATAACTTAGGCCATGGCTATCAAACATCAAAAACATCTGCCAGACTATCCCACTTCTTTTACATAGATGATCTGAAGCTGTATGGAAAAACACCATCTGAAATAGAATAGCTGCTCAACACTGTTCATATATATAGCCAAGATATTGCAATGGAGTTTGGATTGGACAAATGTGCCACATTCACTATCAAACAAGGAAAAATAGTGAAAACTGAAGGAATCAAGATGCCCCAAGAAAATAACATTAAGAGTCTGGATGAAGATGATTACTACAAATACCTGGGTATCTTTCAAGCTGACAACATCAAGCACACTAAAGTCAAGAAAAAGATTAGAGGTGAATACATCAAGAGAGTGAAAAAGATCTTAAAGTCCAAACTCAATGGAGGAAATACTATCAAGGCAATAAACACCTGGGCAATACCAGTCATTAGATACACAGCTGGAATAGTGAACTGGTCTCAAACAGAATTAAAAGCAATGGATAGGAAGACCAGAAAAATAATGACGATGAATCATGGCCTTCATCCTCTCAGCGACATTGACAGACTCTACCTACCAAGGCAAATAGGTGGGCATGGAATGTTGCAAGTACATCAGATAGTTGAAGAAGAAAAAAAAGGCTTTGGAAGAATATCTGAAGGACAATGAAGAAGATGCACTGAAGTTAGTATGCCAGGAAGGAGAGACCAAATTGGCCTACAAGTGAGAGACCAAATGAAGAACAGAAATGGAAGACAAAGCATAGCTGAAGAAACAGTGGACCACCTGGTAAGCTGCTGCAAAAAGATTACACAAACTGATTACAAGCAGTGGCATGACAAAGTAGCAACAATGGTGCATTGGAAGATCTGCAAGAAAGATCATTTGCCTCTAAACAAGAACTGGTGGGACCATAAAATAGAAAAAGTCATAGAAAATGAAGAAGTTAAATTGTTCTGGGACTTCAGAATCCAGACAGACAGGCACCTGCCATATAACACTCCGGACTTAATAGTTGTTGATAAGAAAGACAAAAAAGTCTGGATAGTGGATGTGGCAGAGCCTGGAGACAGCAGAATAGAAGAGAAAGAATTGGAGAAGATAACAAAATACAAAAACCTACCCTGTTCCCCCCAAAATAAGACATCCCCTGATAATAAGCCCAATTGGGCTTTTGAGTGCATGGCAATAAGGCCAAGCACTTATTTCAGGATTCAAACAAATATAAGACAGGGTTTTATTTTCGGGGAAACACAGTACAAATAGAAATAGAATGACTATAGCAAAGGCAAGCAAGGGTAGTACCAATAGTAACAGGCACCTTGGATGCAGTCCCAAAACAACTGGAACACCACTTGAACACCATAGGCGTTGACAAATTTGCCATCAGTCACTTGCAGAACATGGCTTTACTTGAAACTGCTTCCATCCTGCGACAATATCTGTAACACCGTCAAACATCCAGATTTGCCTATGTCAGGTCCTTGGTAAGGACTCGATAGGTAGACAAAAATGCCAAACCCAGTTTGAACATCTGGCTGACTATGCAATGAACAACAACAACAACAATAACAACATGTAACAGTGATACCCATCGTCATTAGGGGACTTGGTACCATGTCCAAGAATTTTACAAAACACATCAAGAAATTGCAGCTTCCTGCAATAACACCAGCGGAACTGCAAAAAACTGTGCTAATCGGAACATCATATATTTTAAGAAGATACTTGGTTGATACCTAGGATGCTGGCCGCAACCAGTATCAACCATTAGCACCAGTCAATGGTATTTGTGACACATTTTTAAATGTTCAGTTGACTGAGTTTCCTGTTTAATAATTAAAAGCATAAAATAGGTATTTTTGTCCATCCTCCTCCTATGGGTTTGCATCCATAAACCTTTTAAAAGTAACTTGCTGCATGGATTGTAATCAGCAACAAAATAAAATGGTGGGAAAGGGTGGTTCCTTCCCTCATTCTGCAAGTGTTAGCTAAAAGAGAAGTTTCTGACACCAGATTTGAAGTACGAAGACTTTCCTGAAGTTACATCTGAAATCTCATTGTAGTTTTGATCTTCCTGAAATGTCTTCCTAACGATGCTCTGAAAGAACCTCTCTGACAAAACAAAACAAAACAAAACAAAACAAAACAAAACAAAACAAAACTTTTAGGCATGATTTAGAGACCCATTGAAAATAGAGTTTATGAATGTGTATCAAATGAACAGGGAAATAGTCCATCAACAGTAGTAAGGGGGGCATTGTGAGGATGAAAACAAAGCTTCCTTGAAGTTCTTGGGAAATAAGGATTTTCACTTGGTGTTCAAAGCACCATGCATTATAGAGATGGCAGGCAGGACACTCAACATAAAGAATCAGATGCTGCTAAGAAAAATATATCCTTGTAATTACCTATTTGGTCTGCTTTTGTATATAATGCTATTTACATAGGAGATCTTTCATTAGGTGTTTCTCCTCAATGTCTGGCAAGGAATGGGAAAAGAGTGTAAGCCTGCCAACCTTCAGATTCACCTAATGCTACCATGTCACTGTCTTTTTTTGGGTAATTGGAATTATAACATGTGGGAGGTAGATAGGACTCATAACTTGGCCAACAGAGCACTGAGGTCAGGCTTATCCTCGAACCAGGAAATGAATAAGTTTAGGGCAATTATTTTTTCTATTGATCTCTGTTATAGAAACCTTAGGCCAACCTCACTCCAGGGATGAGCCGGATTGAAATTGCCTCATTGTGTTTATGGCTGGGAAAAACCAGAGGAAAAGATTTATTTTCCTTTTTCATTTCAGGAGAAACATGAAGCTCTTGTGGACTCAGGAACACAAGAGGCCCCTAAGGAAACATTCACCTTGTGGATTTTGCTGTGTTGAGTGTTTATTTTGTCATAGACCTGAATCTGCTTAATCCACACCGTTAACTAGAATGAAATAAATCTGCAGAT